TAAACACATCTGAACATAGCTTCACATTCCCCATCCCTCAAGCCTCAAAGTTTTCATTAAACCACATTCGAATACATTTTTTTATTAAGCAACTCTGCCATTTCACTACTATACTCACAAACAAGTTTAATAACTTACTGAGATTACCAGCAAATTTAATTTTCAATTCACCTGTTCAGTTCTCCAAGTGTTTAGAGTTGCCTTAGTAGCAGTTGTTTACCACTCAGGTGTTTATTCCCAAAGCAACATTTATTATTTACATAAATACACTTGAAAGACATCAAAACCATGTCAAATTCTATTACAACAACAGACTTTTGTAAGTAAAAAAAGCATTTATCTAAAACCAATAGCTAGGTCTCTCCAGATACATCCTAAAAAACTGTCAAAATAAGCCAGAGTGTGTAAATTCCAAGTCTCCATCTCTAAGTTTATATTGTTATTCTATTATTTTGATAAGAATATGTCCAACTACAATGGTTCTGATTTAGTACCTTATTTATTTTCAATTTTTGTTGAGCTTCCGTCACCATTTCTTGACTGAAACCCTGCATTAACTTTACTGGGGAAAAGCACAGCAAATCTTGACAGAGCTTTACAAGAACAAAGTCTCTTAGCTTCACATAGTTCTCTGATGGATCTTCAGCTAGAAAGAATAAAAAAAGCCTATCAGCATTATTTGTTTTCTCATCTCTGGGATGTAACTACAAGGAACTATGGACAACAAAAGCGGATACAGCATTCATCAGTGTAATACCAAGCTTGTGGACCTGATCCTGTTATGGGCCATTCATTTAAGACTTGGACTCGATGATCCTTGTGGGTCCTTTCTGACTCAGACTATTCTGTGATATAAACAACTGTGTTGTTTAATTAGTTAATTTTAAGTACTGCTATCAAAGGTTTAGGTGTTTGACAGCAGACATCAAGCAGGTCACGGAAAGAGAAACTTGTAATATTTTGTGTATGCAGTACTGTACAGTTTTATATTATGTGCATTTATAAGAAACTGACAACATAGACGTTCAATCCCATTTAACTTCTTGGGAAAATAAGACTACTCTGTGTATAACCTTTTTTTCTATATCCTCCGTCTATTCTATATTTGACAGAGTGATAGAACTACTAAAACACAAGTAAATTATGTGGACAAAGAGTGGTGAAAATATCCTACTGTACACAAGTAAGCTAGCTGAAGACAGGTATTGACCACGAGTTATAGTCTATGTTAGCAAGGAAGACAGGAAAAGGTAGAAAGACCCAAAAGACACGATTATCCAAAATTAAAAGGCTGGAATCACTTAAGCAAAAGCTGATCACAATTTCAAGTTACTTCCATTTTGCTTAAAATGACAGCATAGCTATCAAAATTGTTGCTTTAAGAAAAAAACACCGAAGTTGAGAACTAGCTTCAGTTAACATCAAAGTGGTCCCATCCATATTGTTCCTATTTATGAACAACACTGCGAATATATTTCTTTCTTCCTTGTTTGTTTAGACAGGCTCTCCACAAATAAGTAGCAGGGCCATGTTTTCCCCCAACCCTCATTTTTGCATGAACTAGCCTTGTTGAGTTTATTGCTAACCAGTTTATACCCCACCTGTGTTTTTCTTTAGTTTTGAGGAACATTGTAAATAGTTGAAATTTGCAGTTTTAGGATGATCAAAAAGAAAAAAAAAAGTTACCAAGGACTGGGATAGAAGTTTTTGCTATCTTTGTGCAGCACTGCACAACTATTTTTTTGTTTGGAAGATGCTTATGATGATTCTATCAGTTAACACGTTTTATGCATGAGTGGCCTAATCTCGTATGGCAAACCTTATAGCACTTACTCTACAAAATAGATTGGAGAAGGTGCACTAAAGTTAACTCCATTCGTTTGAGCTCACATTAGTTAAGAGAAACATGAGGCAGTTTCTGTTCAGTAAGCACTATCAGCATACATTTTGCTTGTGTCAGCATGACCGGGTATAAGCAGAACAAAATATTTGTTGTAAACGTGAAACTCGGAAGTTTTTTAATACATTGTTAGCTCTTTCAAAGAGGTCAACTCTTTTCAGAAAGGTTAAAGGCTTTACTTCCCAGTTTTAGATGATATGTAACTAAATATCCTGACAACGTCAGGACTGTCCAGCCGAATTTCCTGCTCAAAAGGACAATAAATAATTCTGTAAGAGCCTTGAATGACATGTAGAATATTGTGAACTTTCTCCTGCTTCATTCCATAAAAAAATTAAACCCTGTTTTAGTGCACATTTACTGGTTGCTACAACCCTGTATTTAAGGCACTGAGCCATGCATATGTCAAATGATTTACGCAGTACCATGTTAAGACTTTATTCATCCTCAGTTAAAGCTTTGTACTATTAAAAGGAAAAAGTAAATGCATGATGCAGATGATTTTCTGTTGCATAAACAAAGTTATACTTCCTTGGGTTCCCATGAACTGGATTAAAATTATGAGGTGGATTACCTTTTGTTATGATTATGCTGCAACAATGCATTATGAAGCAAGCAGTCAATTGTGTTTTAATTAGAATGGGGAGTTATTTCTAACCAAGATGAGACTACACATACAATTGAATGGTCAAGTTGTGCTTCAACTATATTTCTTCCTATGCTAGACTTGAAACCACAGGACAGATATCACACTTGTGGCAATTTCTAGTGTTATTTTTGTAATGCACATCCACCCTTCATCCCCTCTTCCACTTCCTCAATAATCTTTTATTTTTAGTTATTTGTGCACACACCTCTAATATCACAGATGCCTTCAGCCAGCAATGTGTGCTCCTAGAGCACAAGTTCTCTATGGACTTTTACTGTCTGTAAAATTTCATCTTGCACACTAATATTAATATGCTATTTTAGTTAGATGAGTGTGTGCCCCCTGAAGTCTGAGTTTTGGCTAACAGAAGGAAGTTGAACAAGGAATTTGACAAAGCTTGATCTCTTGGCAAACTCAGCTGTGTATCTCACAATAAAATGGCTAATTAGCTGGTAATCCGTTCATGCTAGGGATGGAATTTTCCTGGTGTACTGTTCTCTACGTAAAGTATTCAAGGAGCTACATTATATACACTTCTTCTGTAAACCAGGGTACTACTGATGCTGGACTGAGCAGAAGCTGAATCTTCAAAAGACTGTGTAATTCTGACAAATGAACACAGAAGTTAGCTTGTGGGCTAGCAACCTGTGAATGCTACAAGTTGCTTGTTAAAAATTTAACACAAACCTGTTATATCAAGTACTGTAGGAGAAGACATATAGTATCTATGAACTGTTTCAAGCAGCTGAGCACCGTGGCCTTCTCCTTGGAATGGTGGCAAGATCAGCATCTGACTACAGACAAAGGAATGCATTTTCAGTTCAAATTATGCATTTGCAAATATAAAGTCTTAAAAACAAAATGGTATTTCATTTTAGATTAAAGTATGTGTAGTAACCTTAATGTTAAAATGTAATTTTCAACAGAGTCTTAAAATTGTTAAATATTCCAAACTTGTTTGAGATTCCCTCCGCTTCCAGAAGGAAACAATGAAATAAATCAGTGCATAGACAGCTAATAATGGGGATTTTTTTAAACAAATCAACACTATTATAAACAAGTATTGGGAACTTCAGCAGTTCCCTCTTCTGAAATAAAAGGCAAGGCACGAGTTACACCGCCAATTACCTTACACGTGGCCGGGTTTTGTCTGGGTACACATAGTAATTATAGACTGTCATGTAGCCTACGGTCGCAAAGAGCGTAGCTCCATCCTTATTATACTTCTCAAATCTGCAGATAAAACAGAAAGCCAAGCAGGTCAATTACAGTCGCGCTCCCATGCAGTGTCCATTTTCTTTTCCATTCTCCAACTGAATTTTCAGTGTCAGCAAGCTACTCTGTGAGGGCCCAATGGGTACACCTGCTATGTTCTGAATGTACAATTCACTTAATTGGTGTGCAGCAACTTGGATAAATCAGGCCTCTTTACAGCACTTCAGTGCACTTGCCTATTATAAAGATGAATAGGTGGCAAGTAAAAGAAAACACAGGCAAAGCTCATTTTACTGTTTAAGCCTACATTCAGGGCTCTAACGGACAACAGCATTTAATTCAGCTCTATTCTCAAGCTTTCCCAAAGCATAATGGAGGAAAACTCAAGCCTCATAAACAATGGTTTTTCTTTCCTGGGAAAAATATCATTATACTGCTCCAATAATTGGCCAGCCACAATTAAAATGCAGGCTTTGTGGAGGTAATAAGGTCCACTGTTGCTTTAGAACTGTACTTACACTAGAAAGTAGTTCCATCTTTCATCATCTACATCAATAAAGCTAGCAGTTTCAATAAACCACATCAAGAACGTCTGAAGCCTTTCATGATATTCTCGAAAGCCTGGACATGTCATGTCAGCCTAGGGAAAAAGCCAGGAGAAGTCAGGTGAAACCTATCACAGATGTAAGAGGAAAAAAAAATATGCAAAACCTAATTAAATTACCGGATATAAGAAAGCATGTTTACAATGATTAATAAATGGATAAAATGATAGTATTTATGTACTATGGTTCAATCATTACAGAAAGCGCACCCTTGCAAAATAAAATTGCATTTGGTTGCTCAAAAGCAGAAGTTTAACTTAATTTTTCATACCTTGTATATCTGGTATGTTATATCTTCACCGGCTTCCTCATTATGGATAGAATATGTGTGTAGCAGCATTCCAAAGGGCTTGAAGTTGACCTCCTTCTCCAGCAGAGACACAAAGTCATCTGTGTTTGTGCAAAAACCAGGTGGAATGATTTCTCTAATTTTACTTTCAACATCATCTGCCTGCAGATTACAAAAAGGGGCAGGATCAGTGGAAGATGAGAAAAAAAACAGCATTGATGTCATTATTGTGCTATAAGAAATGAATATATGAGAGATGATATGGCCTACCAGTAATTTAAAAAAAAAAATAAAAAAAAAAAAGAAGAGAAGCATTTCTGTTGTTTAGTGGTGACCTTCCAGCAAATAAAGAAGCTGCACTGATGAAATCAGAAAGGTCACAATCCAGCCACTGTAAGCATCAAAAAGCTCTTGGTTACAGCATAAGTTAATGAACACTATTATGTTTAGAGATTGCTACACTTGTCCAAGTTTGTCTAAGAGTGTTGATAGCTATTCTGTAAGTGGAGCACATTCAGAAGCTAAGACATTCCAGACAGCAATTCTCCAAGACTATGCTACGCAACACAGCCTTGTACAACTCAGGTTCCCAAACAAGCAGCTTGCAATAACTACTAGGTAATGCAGAACTAAGCAGAGAAACAGGCACAAAGATCAAAAATGTTAGCTCCCAAACAGAAAAGTGACAGCTAGCACACTCTTGCATTCTTGTGTCCCCCTGCTTGAAATGCCTGTCTACAGGATCAGCTCCAAAACACATTACAAACTCAGACAACCACATCCCCCATTCTAATAAGACAGTTTTGAAAACAAAGTTTGACATGAAATAGTACAATTTAAGAATACTGTCAGCAAATCTGACCTGTAGTCTAACATACTGTGGAAGACAAAATATTCTGACCCCAAAATTTAATTCGCAGATTTCACTTTGGTTATCTGAAAAGTTAGAGACTATCAGCTGAGCAGACTTCATAATCCCTTTCAGACCCCCAGAAGACCACTTGATTGAATACATTTACTACTTCTTTTTAACCATGAATATTTGATGAAGTTTCACAATAACGTATTACTGCTTCTCACCAGGCAATAAAACTTAATGAATTGGTCTCAACTTAACAAAACCGTTCTCCTCAATACAACCCCTAAAAGCCTGACATTACATTCAACAAAATGAGCTTACATTCAATTCAAACTTTCCTCTAGACAATGAATCCAGGTTTTTACTTAATGGAGTTTGCCGTGAGTTCAGCTGTAATGTTTGTATTGTATCTATTTCCACAAGGACGGACACAAGAACACTTTGTGTTAACTTACTAAGCAGCTCTTTCACACCGTTTACATGCATGATGGGTATTAGTTCAAAACCAAGACCCTTGCTACTTAGCATTCAAAACAGGGAAATTAAGATGCTTAGAACAAAATACACTACAAAAGGCTAATACAACATGCTACTAATTCCTGTCCTTTCAACCATAGGCCCTTAAGTAGAAGCAATGCACCTGCAAATGAATAGCACTTTATCATTCAGTTACAGTTTTATTGTAGAGAAAGATGGATTTAGCTCAGCACAAACAAGTTTTATTCTTAATGGTTTGGTACTACCAACATTTATATTTATATTTGGAGAGAGAGCTATTAAGCAGTTAAAATACAGCTCTACAATACTTGGTGTAAGAACCAAGTTAAAACATGTACAGTCTTTACATCCATTTCATTCTCAAAACAAAGATAATTTATTGGAGCCTTTGCTATTCTTCACAGACCAATATTAACTAAAACATTTTCTTTACACTTACTGATTTAAGTGCATTACATAAAATCAGCCATTTTTTCAGAATCAACGTAATACATTTAAAAACATATTTATATGGAACACATTTTAGAAATTACTTTTTTTTTAAACCATGCAAATGCACTGTTTAAGCAGATCTTAGTCTGCACTGCTTACAGAGCTGTAGGGAACCACAACTAAGAATCCATAGTGACTCATTTTATATAGCTGAAATAGGCAGAATTAAAACAGTACTTCCAAGCATCAGTTCAGTATCTCAGGTTATATGGTAGCTATCTAAAAAAGGTGAACATACAGTACGAGATACCATATAAATAATGATTAAGTAATTTTGCTTCCCTTCATATTTGTAACTTTCTTCATCAGTGGTGAGAAGGAAGCCTAACTTTCACCTGCTGAAAGCCTGTAAGATAACACATCCATCACTGGCTACCACCAAGGAAAAATCTTACTTTCAAAAAAATAGACAGGATTAAAAGATGACAGAGACTTAGCAGATAAAGCACCAGATAATACTTCTTGGTTCTATATGACTAAAACATATTTTCACCTATTGCCTCCTAAAAATTCTCTCCCCTTGAAATGGGATCTGACATAATTTAAGAAATGAAAATATAGTCTTTAGTTACTTTTAGGGTTAACAGGATTTCTCTCTCTTACAGAGCAAATCCCAGAATCCTCAATTGGAGTGGTGGTAGAAGTTTAAGTGATCCAATTTCCAATTAGCAAGTCCTGGAATACTGGAATCTTGACATACCGACAACACAAAAAATAATGTTTCATTAACACCTGTACTTTTTAACAGAAACATTAATTACTTTGTAGGGCAGAAACATTAATTACTTCGTAGGCCCTTTCCAAACCCTTCTGAGGTGCTCATAATCCAAGGACCTACCAGAATTTGTTTACTGCCTTCTCTTGTGTATTTCCTTGCTCTTGTTGAGAGGGTAACTTCACTCATATCTTACCAACAGGAATGGATGCACACAATGGCACGGAAGTTTCTCTTCAGAAAAACAATCCTGTTGACTACTCCAACAATGTTTAACATAGGCAAAGCCACACACAATGAAGCATGCAAAAACCTGAATTAAGCCAGCCAAGAATTGTTGAGCTTTTGGTTCATGGAAGTGCTGCCTGTAATGTATTACCTTCATGATCAGAATCATGTGTGGTGATGACAGGGAATTTGGGATAGGCTTGTAATTACACTTGATTTCTAGTAGGACTGTTTAAATGGGTAATGTCTTTGTACATTGCATTTGAGTCTGGATAATTTTAATACAGAGGTTATTCTTGTACTAAAAGGCAGCTATGACATTTGTATACCATGTAGATGCTGTTTCAAAAAGTGATTGAATTTAAAATAATTATAGAAGCATATTTAAAAGCTGAATTTCTCTAACACATGCATGTATTTCAGTGGGGAGCAATGGAATGATCAGCAGTATTACATGAAAGAAAGAAAAATATGCCAATATTAAAATAACACTTTTTCATTAACTTTTGTATCAAAGTCTGTAAACGTATAGACTAGCTGCAAAGCAAGATATATAGTTTAGTGAAATACTTTTCCTGCATCCTATCATAAAATGCAGATGAAAAGGAAAATATTGGAACAGCTGCAAATCTCAAAGCAGCAATGCAGAGGTCAATGCTATTAATATTTACACTAGAAGAAAGCAGCTTCTCTTCAGATATTTGAAAGAATCAACTTCACCCAAGGGAAAATTCTGTCTATTTTCATTAAATGAAGTGCCAACTTTTGTTCAAAACACAATCATACTCTGCTGAGCCTTCCTCAATAAAGATGGAGCTAAACCATGTTCAGATGTATAAATATGACTGGAGTTCTGTCTCTTGACATTTCAGGATTGTATCTTTTCCTCATGTTCAAAAACATCTTAGAGAAAAAAAAAGAAGAGGTATTGGGATAAGTATTTCTGTCAGTCCCTAGCAGGGACTGTAGCAGCTGCTTTAGCAATAATCAAACCAAATTTAATATCACAGAATAAAACCACCCACCATTGAATGGGCTTGTAGGGGTATTTAGGTACAAAATCCTAAGCTGTGAATAACTTTGTGGAGCATTAAAACCAACATCTTACTTGTAACCAGTTATGTTAAAGGCAGAAACTGCTGTCCTTTCCTAAACACCATCTATTCACAGCACAAAGATTATCTGTCATGCATGGTGGATAATCTGCCTCTTAGTATAATTATCCTCAAGGAGCAGAGATCAGCAAACAAACAGTTAACTCAGAAAAATAAATGTTAATGTGCATTCAAATTAACATCCTGCTGTAATGACAGCTTATGTTTTAATCTCTGCAAATGCATTCATACTTTAAGGTGGTTAAACTGATGGCAAATACAAATGAGAGCAAGATTGATTACAGCCATGTCTTTTTTTCTACACAGGTTTAGATACAGCAATATGAGCAGTCTATTTGAATGTACAGTGTTAGTAACACCAAGGAAAGCACAGAGTAAGCAACCACATTCTTCCCATCCAGTCAAAGCCTGTAAATGCTCTGGAAAGCACAGAGAAGCCTCCCTCAAAATGATCCTCTTTTTTGTCTTCACCTCAATCCCTTAATCAATTGGAGGAATAATTCTGTATAGGAAACAGAGCTTGCAAAAAGCAATGATTCTGAGCAATCAAAAGTTTCAGTATGCTTTGGACAAGACAGACCTTGTTTACCTTGCCTCTACCTCCAGAAAAGTAAAGTGGGTTTGCCATTTGTACAGAAAATAGACTGTCAGTAAAAAGGTGCTATGGTGTGGATTCCTGTTGTGATAATTATGAAATTATACTGGTGAAAGGTTGGACCATTTGATTTTAATGTTTACTACATCACCAACAGCTTTCCTTTTTCTCCTATTTCCGAAAACATTCTTAACATTGAAGAACATGACCTTTCACTCCTAAGATATGTTGCTCTACCCTTGAAAGTATTTCAGATATTGTCCAGGCACTTAGCCTGTTGAAGTAAGTATATTCTAAAACACCTTCAGAATAAAGAAGGACAAACCTTTAAAATTCACTTACCAAAGTAATTCCAATGTATTTCTCCCTTTACAATAGGCCTCTCCTTGCAATTATTTAAATAAACTCCAATGAACTTGAAATTAGTAACTTAAATACAACTCAGAATATTCTCAGAATATCTCTCAATATTCTGAGAGCATATAGACAGTACGAGAGAAAATAAATCTTTCCTACAAGTATTCTATAAGCTCAGAAAACCTGTAGGCAAAAATAGGAAAAACAAACAAAAACCCCTGCAGATAACTGCAGATAACTGTATATCATATTCCTTTAAGATGTAAAGCACACATGACACCTGTCCACAAGTTTATAATCTCTCTTCTGCCTTACTTGTCCTCCACATTTAAAGAGACACACATACCATATCATGAAGTGCTTACAGAAACCTCCTTTTCCTTCTTACTGAATTCTCTTCAGCATAAAACCTGGACTCGGTTAATGTGAAAATACAGACTTGTCAAGTAGAGGGGTTTTCTATGGAACTGGTTTTGGTATTAGCACTTCATGTCTCACTGTACTGCTTGACACACTTTTGATGGCACTGGAGTCAAAGAAGGGGAAAATGTACAGATGAAGTCCAAAGCTCTTTTACAGCTTAGCAACAAAGGAAGCTTTTTTTGTTTATTGTTAAGTTAAACCATGTTTTGGGGGGATATTACTAAACCCAGAATTCCTGTCCATGCCCAAGTAAACCTTCAAAGGTAGAAGCACACCTGCACTTACCTCCACACAGTCAAACTTCTCATTTACTTTCGATGTGTATTCAATGCGGAAGAACGTTGACAGGTTACCAGCGATGTAATACAAAAGGATCTTCAGCCCCTTGTAGCCAAAAGCAATTTCACTGAGAAAGAAGAAAAGAACAATCAGGAACTCTACACAAAGCAAAATATTCACATCACAGTGCTTTCATCTCATTGGAAGTTCACATCATCTTTCCCAGTAAGGTAGAGTAAGCTTCCTAATAGGAAAAGGGAATCAAACTGGATGTGCACTATCCAGAGACAATGACTTAAAGTATTGCTACTGTGTTGCTCCTCTAGTGGAGAAATACAACATGCTTCTGAACTCAGCAAGGCAATGTCTCTGCCCTTACTGTAATAGCGCAGGAGAGATATAGCTAATACCTGAAATAGCTAATACTGTGTTTATGTTTTTTCAATAGCTTTAACTCCTTAACAGGTATTTATATGAGTCGATCAATAACATTTATTAGAAATTACTTTGCAGTGCAGTATAACATTTTGGAATAAACTACTGCAATTTATACTGTACAAAACACAGATAATGAGACATAGCAATATGTGGACAGTTTTTGGTTGAGTTTCTATTTAGTTATCCAATGTCACCAGAACTGAGCAAATGCAAAAAAAAACCACAACAAAACAAAACAAAAAAACCCACAAAAGCCTTTTCTACACTTCGAAAATATGAGTTGCCTGAACACGAACCCTATATTCTTATGAAGTATAGAGAATTCTTTTTCTAGCAAAAATCTTGATAAAACAGTAGTGTTCACAAAGTAACAGGTCAAGTTTTGTTATTTTAAAGCATAGCTGATTTTTTTTTTTACTGGGATTTTTCTTTTATGATAGCATATTCATAATTTAAAACTTGAAATAGAAGTTCCAGAACAAGAGTTTGCTTGTTAGTTATACTAACAGATTGGAGAGTTCTCCCATTACTGGAATTATACATAGTTAATCCTAATTGGAGTACTCAGAATGCTTTTAAAAAGAAAATGGAAATTAAGAAACATAACCATTTCACGAAGGCCACAGAAACATGCATCTGGATTTTCCTTAGTAGGTTGGGTTTGTTGTTGTTGTTGTTGATCTTTTTTAACTATGGTCAGATTGTTGAATATCACTCTACTGAAAATATGAAATGACATTTCAGCACTAGGGACAGAGTGGTTGACTTCCCTACAGTACTAATTAAGTCAGCATACTCTAAATAGAAGAAACAATACTTTTCTACTTTCACTTTAGTAAGGACTTTGACACCATTTCTAAAGCATTCTTTGGGAGAAACTGGCTGCTCATGGTTTGGACATGTGCACTGTTCACTGGGTAAAAAACCAGATGGATGGCCAAGCCCAAAAAGTGGTGGGGAATGGAGTTAAATCCAGCTGCAGCTGGTCACAAGTGGTGCTCCCCTGGGCTCAGTGCTGGGACCAGTCCTGTTTAATATCTTTATCAATGACCTTAATGAGGGCATCAAGTGCCCCCTTAGTTGGTTTGCAGACAACATCAAGTTGGGTGAAATGCTGAGCTGCTGGACTTGGGTCACAACAACCCCACTACAGCACAACAGACCTGGGGAAGAGCAGCTGGAAAGCTGCCCAGCAGAAAAGGACCTGTGGGTGCTGGTCAACAGCAGCTGAACATGAGCCAGTGTGTGCCCAGGTGGGCAAGAAGGCAAACAGTGTCCTGGCCTGTATCAGCAATAGTGTGGTCAGCAGGACTAGGGCAGTGACTTTCCTCCTGTACTCAGTATAGCAGGATTTCTTGTTTTCTAACAATTTGGAAGCAACTCTTCCCTTCTGGACCTATTAATTTGACTATGGAAACTTTAACTTACTCATCTCCAAACACTTGATGGCTGTACTCTGGATTAAATGTTGTGTTGTCATCCTCCAAATCCTCAGGAAAGCGAACTGAGGAGGGGGAAAAGAAAAAAAAAAAAAGAAAAAAAGAGCATGACCAAGTCATCGGCTTTGGTTTGTTTATCCACAGATGCCCTGGTAGCTGTTCATGCATTCTTCTGCTACAGACAACTTCAGTTAAGAAACTATCTACATTAGGCTGACACACAAATGAAATGACATCCTGTACAATTTAGGTGCATGTTGTTTGATCTGAGGATGTCAAATCACTAATCAGAATAAAACTGAAAAATTGACACAGATGCACACATGTATATGTTTCATACATGCATCTCCTGAATATTCTGCCTTTAACTTCATCTTGAACACTGAGGACACTGCCCATCTGGCTACTCCTGCAATAAGCACATCAATCATGTAATCAATGTTGCCTTCTCCTTCTGTCATTCTTCTCCTAGATGCAGGTGAGAACACTTCACTGTAGATGATTTTCATGGAGAGATGACTGGAAAGAAATGTTTATGTGCATTTATATTCACGTCAAAATTTTGGAGAATCAGCATGGATACATACAAAACAGCTGCAACAATATTATACTGGTACTTGTACCAATATTACCAAAACACTTAGTGATTTTTTTCTTCCTGATTCTTTACTTTTCTTCAAAGCCTAGTAATAAACATGGCTTTCTCTGGTAATGTAAAAACATTCACTATAATGGCATCTATTCAAACTCAGTAACTTACTGAACAAGCATTTTATTCATGCTTATGGAATTATAGCAGTTGCTTCACAGCAATTATGACAGAAGTTCTTCCATCATTAAATATATGATTTATTAGTGGATGAAATTAGAGATTAAAGTAGGATTTCCTAGGAAAAAAATTTAAAATAGTGAGAGACTTGATTCCTAAACATTCTGTATATTTGCAGTTTAAAAAAAATGCCCAGAATTGGAAGGGCTGTAACTCTTAACTTAGGCATTAAAGATATAGTTCAGTCACACTAACAAAGTACAGGTAGCTCAAAACAACTGTTACACATTTTTAATGCTGAATGAGTTGATATTGCATTAGCATGAGTATGCAATGCTGCAAGAGTTAATACTGCTATTACAGCTTTTTTTTTAAAGCATGTGGAATACTGAACTACAGCTTCATTGCTGCTTTACTCCAGTAAAACCAGAGACAAAGAAAAGTTTTTTTCTGATAATATTAGAGAGTAATTAGTCAAAGAGAAAAATGTGAATGAGGAGTGTCCAAGTGACAAGATAAAAGTCTGACCCTCTCAAAAGCAAAGGAGATGGTTGCTCTTGCCTTCTCGGGTTTAATTCAGAGAGCAACAGATTTGAGGCAAAGTAACAAGTGTAAAAAGAAAGCAAACAAAGGAGAAACAAAACAAAAACCAAAGAGCAGTTCTCAGAAGAAATTAAGACCATGAAGATGATAGTGTATGACTGCTTTTATATCCCATGAAAAACGTGTAATGTTTGGTATTTTTTTAAATGGTACAACTTTGTAGCATCTCATATCTTCCTCTTAACACAATTAGTATATGGAACATCTAAACTCCCTGGAAGAAAAAAAGCAAAAAAAATTAGCTGAAATGGGCAATGGGTACCTTAATTAAAAACCTGATATAGCAGCTCCTTGGATTTCTACACAAATTTCACTCAGATGTCATTATCTCTAATTCTTTGTCTTTAGAAAGGTGGAAGAGAAAAACAGAACATTCGGTCTACTCTTTGAAATAATGTTTCAGAGTAAGAGAAATATTCACAAATACAGTGGCTGAAAAACTTAAGTATTTTGCTTATAACAACATTTTGGCTCACAAGCCACTGTGTATTGAAAATGCTACTAAGCTGTACAGAACAGACTGCTAATAGTTCTGAAAAGTGCTTAACAAGTTCATTACTTCAACTTCCTTAATAAATTAAGGTGTATATATATGTATTGCTCAAGGAAACAAATAGTTGAGGGGCTGTAAAGATTAAAAATTAGACAGATACACCTTATTCTTCAAGTTATTACAGCTGCACATAAGTTTAAGATATAAGCAAGTCCACCAAGAGTTCTGTAATTCTGGCTGTATTTTAAGTATCCTAGTAAGTAAATTGGCTAGAGAGAGCAATAAACAGTTCTTGAAAGATTGGTATCTTTTCTCTTCAGATTTTAAACAAATTTCACTAAAAATGTCTTGTGTAATCCAGATGTTGAGGGGGAAGGGCAGCAAAAACCCCAACCCAACAACACTTTTCAGCCTTTTATTCACCCCCCCCATCAAAGAAAGAGGAAAGGGAAAGATGTTAGAAACATATAATTAGATATTTGTAACCCTAAAGAAATTAGTTCTGCTGCCATGGTCACCATGAAGTCAACAAATACTTAGGACTACACCATGTCACAAGGATTACAGAAGCAAAGAATATAACAAATGCTTCAAGAAAATAAGATGATGTAATTCCAATGCACTCTGGTAACATGGTAATAAAGGGCTGATTATCATGCAGAGATAGGACTGAATTTCTACAGCTGTACTTGAATTCCAGTAGTCTCAGCAAACTAGTCCATGCATTTCTTTCTTGAGTTCCATGCTCACATCAACAAGGACATATTATTACCCGGGTGAATTTAAGCATAAGAACATTTCTTAGGAAGGTACTAATACTCCAATATCAATTGTACAGCATTTAAAAAGGGACATTACCTAGCTTCAGCTGAATTGCTTCATTTGTATTACACTTGTATTCAGCCAGCTTCTTCTCCATAGCAGTAAGTCCTGAAGAAAAAGTTGGTTTTTTTAAGGTTTAAGAGGTGTTCAGTCTGTTTGTCACTATTACTCAAAGATCATATTAGAAAAAGGGTTGTAAAAACTACAGAAAACACACAACACAAAACCACTGAACAAGTAAGATTAGGAAAAGCTACAATATGCTACAATGTGGTAACATGGAGAACATAAAGATTTATCTTAAACACTTCTCTGGAACTATAAACAAGAACTAGAAAACAGACAAGCATCTCTCCATTTAGTTTCTGAGAATTAAAGACATTACCATAAAATTAGCAAGTGTTATAAGTTATTACCAATTAAACATATATTTAAAAATGTAAGTATGAAATTAAGAATTCAATCTAACATGTTATTTAAAAAAACTGGTTAAGTAACACGTATTAAGTGTTTGCATTAAGTCATTTTCACAAACAGGTGTTCATGAACTGCAGTGGCATGTAAACCACCGGCAATTATTTGGCTACCACTGCTCTTCCAGAGCGGATGTGGGAGAAAAAAGCAAGCGAACTGCATTTAGTCTGTTTTTCAAAGCAGAATCCAGCACAGAAGACATTTCACTGATGGCATTTTCCAAGAGCTTTACGAACACAGACCCCCTTCACTCCAGAAAGTTCTAATACAGCTTACTTCAGTCAGTGAACTTGGGAGTAAAAACAGTTTCGGGCTTTTAATTCCCTGTCCACCCTCAAAAAACTCGCGGACAAGGAGATATACTCCGGCTCAGGACTACCGAGCACGGGGGCCGTGAACCCGAGGACGCCCCGCAGCAAGAGCACGACCAGGGCAACCGGGGGGACAGAGACACAGCCGGTGGCAGAGGCAGCCGCGCTCCCCTCCCTCACACCCCGTACCGTCCCTGCCGCCCGCTGCCCCGTCCCGGCCTCACCCGCCATGTCCGAGCGGCCCGCGCAGCGCGAACCAACCCGCGCGCCCGCCCGCCGGAAATAAGCGCGCGCAAACGCGCTTCCGCTTCCGCCCGCCGAAAGCGGGCCAGGAACCAATGGCTGTGCCGCGCGGCGCGCGCGGCTCGCGCGCATGCCCAGCGCTGCCTCGAGCCCTGCGCTCGCGCCCTCGCTCGCGTGGCCGGCCCCGCCTCGCCCCGCCCTGAGAGGGCGCGCATGCGCAATGCTGGCGGCGCGGGCTCGCACGTGTCCCGGCCCCGGCGTGACGGGAACGTCCGCCCGCTCGGCCGAGCGCCCTTCGCCTCAGCGCCCCCCGCACGCACCGACCGCACGGCCCAGCGCCACGGCCACGCTGCAGCCGAGCAAACAACCAGAGCTGTAGCGTTAGGAAGTAAATAAATAAAAATCTGTGTGCTGAACCGCTTGTTACAGCCACGGCGTAAAGGATATTTCTGCTATTTTCTTTTAAGGGATTGTTTTTTGATGCGCTTATAACACAGATTGTTACTCTGTGTGCTGCTTTGGACTGGGATAGAACGATTACTTTTCTTCCCAGTGGCTGGTGTGGGGCCAGTGGTGGATTTGTGCTGAACACAGGGTTGATAATACAGAGTTATTTCTGTTATTGCTGAGCAGGGCTTGCGCAGAGCCAAGGCCTTTTCTGCTTTCTTGTGCTGCCACACTGGCAGGGAGGGGAGGTGTGCGTGGGAGGCTGGGAGGAGACGCAGCTGGGACAGGTGACCCCAACTGACCATAGGGATATTCCAGACCATATGGCATGCTCAGTATAGAAAGTGGGGGGAAGAAGGAGGAAGGGGGGATGTTTGGAGTGATGGTGTTTGGCTTACCAAGTGGTTATACATGGTGGGGCCCTGCTTTCCTGGAGATGGCTGAACACCTGCCTGCAATGGGAAGCAGTGAATTAATTCCATGTTTGACTTTGCTTGTGTGCATGGCTTTTGCTTTCCCTATTAAACTGCCTTTATCTCAACCCATGAGTTTTCTAGCTTTTACCCTTCCTGTTCTCTCCCCGATCCTGCTGGTGGGGAAGTGAGTGGCTGTGTGGGACTTGACTGCTGGCTGGGTTAAACCACGACACTCTGCAATTAGTAGGTATTTATGGCCTTGCTGAGCAAGACACTCTAGTGGTCAGATGCTTATCAAATGCCTATCAGATGCCTATCAAATAGGAAGATTTCTATCAAAACTGTTCTTGTTGTCAGTTGTGACATAGCATGTGAACTCTGAGTTATATTCAGAGAATTTTTGTTGACCTATAGCCAAGAAAAGTTCTGCTTTCTAGAGCAAATTAGTTGTTTTAAACTTGAGAAAAGTGACCCATTGTTTTGTGACCACTATTATAAACTGCCAACCACTGTATTGTAGTTTTACATCTCACTGTGCTATTTGACGTGTACCAGAATCTGCCCTTTTTATATTTTCCAGTGGCATGTGATAAAAGACACCTTGTTGGGGCCTTGAAATAATACAGCAAGACAGAACATGTAGTATTAGTTAAGCCAGGTTTTACAAGCACTTACTGTGATGAAACTGTCCAAATGAAATATGAACTTGTCCTTTCTTGCGGCTGTGGCCTGTATGCTTTTCATTTTGAGATATAACACGAGTGTGCTCTACTGCTAAAGACCCAGTCAGAAGTTACTGAATTCCAGCCAGGACTGATAACTTTGCCTCTGGCTCCTTTGTTTGAAATACAGGGCTACTACCAATTTGCAGCCAAGCTGCCAGAACATCAGTCTATGAACTTGGAACCAACAGGTCAGCTGACCCTTGAGAAAGCAGCTGCATCTGTCACGCCAGAAATGAGATTCAGCAGCGTTTACAGGAGCTCGGTTTTGCACTGTGGAGGTGCTGCCAGCAGCCCCCGGCAGGACCCGCACCCGCGCCGCTGGTGCCTCGGTGGGGGCAGACACGGCACCCGGACGGCTGCAACGGCGGTGGCCGGCACCGGCCGCCGAGGGCAGCGGGCAGGGCTGGGCCGGGCCGGGCGCGGCGCTCGCCCCCACAGCGCTGCGCTGAGGCAGCGGCTGCTGCGGCGGCGCGGCGGGCGGGCGGCTCCTCCTCCTCTCCGTCCTCCTCCTCCTCGGCGGGCGCAGCATGGCGGTCAAGGTGACTCTCCCGCTCCGCCGCTTGTGGCAGGAGGAAGCGGGCGGACCCCGCGCGGGGCCGGGGGCGGGCGGGCGGCGGGAGGAGGCGGTGGCCGCCGCCGGCGCTGAGGGAGCCCGCGGGGGCCGGGGGGAGCGGCCGGCGGTGATGGTGGGGCGGCCCGGGGGAGCGGCAGCGCAGCCCGCGGTGCCTCCGCCGCCGCGGTGCCGCGGGGGGTGCGGGCCGGGGCCCCTGGCGGTGGCGGGGGTTGTGGCGGAGCCGGCCTGGCCCGCGGGCCGTGGCGGGGCCGTTCCGAGGGGCCGTTCCTGGGCCGGGGCGCCGCGGCTCTCGCAGGCAGCCCGGGGCTGACAGCTGTCACCGGCACCGAGCCTGGTGCGGTCCCACAGCAGCACAGCGCGGGGTTGGCTGGGGTTGGGCCTGTGGGTCTCAAGGGACGCCCCATGGCCGCCCTTACAGCGAGTGGTGTCGGGGCTCTGTCAGTGGCACGGCTCTCGAAGCAGTATCTTGCTTGTGTTTACAGGTGCACTCAGCCAAAAGAGCGGACCCCGCCGAACTACGAAATATTTTTTTGCAGGTAAAAAGAACTGTCTAGTGTTGTTTAAATGACAGACTTCTGCTTTTTGCCCTCCCAGCAGTTTGCCATGGAATCAAACACATGTGCTGCTGGGATACTTAAAACTTCACTTTGTAGGCACAGTGTATTGAAGAGGCTGTCAGGCATCGAGCAGAAACTGCTGGTGACACAAATCCTGATTAACCATTTCCAAATTATAATACTAAATATTTTTCTGAAGTATTTTCAAGTTTTCTATAAAATAAATAGCTATAACTAAGTATTGTTATTTTTAAAATATACTTTTCCAAGATTCAAAAAAATTATTCTGCCTGTATGTTTTATCTTTGGGGTTTATATGTGTTCCTCTCACAAATGGATGGACCGCTGGCAATGTTTTTGGAACTTAAAATTGATAACTAAAGATTTATGCATTTCATAATATTATCCCTTGCAGGGCCTTGTAATTAAGATATATATAAATAAGAGCATGAAGCTTTTTACACTCCCTTAGTTACAGTAAAGCACAGTCAGAAAGGAAAATTGAGTCAAACCTGTAACTTTGATAATAAGCTATGAACCAAGCATATGGAATAAGAACAACAACTGTGTTTTAGGTCCATAGTTGGGGCACTGATATTTCAAAATCACTAAAATAACTTCTTTTCCTTTTATATTGAATGTTAACACAGTATATTCAAGAAGGTTTTCTCTGTGAAAAAGTTAAGAATATAAAATGAATATTAAAACTAATACTGTGAATAATAAAGTCTATTATTTTTGACATGTAACTTCTAGTTCTACTGTATTATCTAATACTTTCCACATATTACAAGTAGCCAGAGAGACCTTTTTGCCTGAGAGAGAGATGTTAGACCCCAACCCTGATTTTGGTGGATTTTTGCTTTTGTATACTGGATTACACTGGTAGTATTGCTGGATTGCAAAAACTTAGAATGCTGGCATCAAACTGTGACATCTCAGCATTTAATTTCTAGCAAAAAATCTTCCAGCAGCCTGGGGGACAGTCTGGTTTTAAAACAGCTTCTGGGTCTTCTCCATGTCTTATCTTGTTATCTTCTAAGAAACATGCAAATTAAGTTGTGGATTGTTGCATGCTCTGAGGGATGAAAAAAATGAACACTCTTCTCTCCCCTTAAGTATTTAGATTTGCAGTAAAAAGAGCATAGAAAGAAAGTTTATTTTGCATTATATTTGATTAAAATTGAGTTTGAAATTGTGTTTCTGTTTGATGGGTAGCAATTGAACTTAGTTGCAAGCTTCAAAAAAATCAAAAGAGAATCATTCTTTCCAAGACTTAAGTTGTAGAGAAATACTGCTAGTGTTGCACACATCAGGGGTCAAATATGTTGTGCTCTTTGCTGAGAGCGCTGGCCTGTCTGTGAGCTTCAGCTAAAGGTCGTGCATTCCTTCCTAAATTTGGCATCCCTTGGAAATGGTTAGAAGGGAAGATGTGAACTGTAGGCCTCATCACCATCCACCTTAATCATAGAGAGTGTACTTAAATTTCCTTCTCTTCATGCATGTCTTCTAAAGTGCTATGTGCCCTCTGTCCATGTAGTTTACATTGCATTAGTGGATTTCCAAAAGCTTGCTATATGTTTATTTTTACTATTTTGAACTGTTAAAAACCTAACATTTTACTTGCATTAAAAAGATGTGCTATTATTTCTCTGTAATCTTGTAACTATGAAATGCAGGCATTGAAATTCTTTGTCTGTGCACCATCAGGTAACTTAGGTGTTTGCTAAACAGGCTTCAGTAACAACCATAAAAGAACATATTGGATAACAAATTATCCCTGAAGGATAAAAGAGTTAGGTAGAAACACAGCTGCTAGATTTCTTAGTGAACCTTCATTCTTTTTTCTTAGGGAAGACACAGTCAGTCTTTGGGAAATATAGTTGAATTATTCCCTGCCTGCTGAGTTCAAGTGTAACCTGTTCCAGCAAGGTGAAGAAAGAAACAAAACCAAATTCCCAGTTTTAATACAGGAAACTTTCCCCACCACTGGTTAAAAATTACCTGAATCTCTTGCTCGTAGCTTAGCTTGATTTTAAAAATGTAATATTTATAGTGCCTGTAGGTCTCTTCTGCTTTGGAACTTCTCTCTCTTCTGCCCAGATAAAATCATTGGGATAGAAAACTCCTTTAAATTGAAAACTAACCAATTTTAAAAACAAAGCATTGTTTCTGAAAGTGTGGTGGGTACCTAGCACTGGATTGTACAACTAGAGTAGAGGGTTTGTGTGTTCATTTTATGTGATGAATTTTAAAAGTCTCATGCAAATTCATCAAGTGCTTACCCAAGACAGTCTATAAACGTATAGTAAGAATTTTGTGTTATAGCATTCAGGACTGAGGAAAATAC